TTTTTACTCCTTTTGTGTTAAATCTAATTGAAAACCTAAAATAGTGTAAAACAAATGGAAACCCTTTTGTAGCTTTATGTTAGTGGTTTGGTTTATTGTAGTATTGTGACTGTACAGCTGCAGTGGCTCTTGTCTTTGATTTGAAAAAAGAAAAAAGGCCTTGAGTTGATGATATTCTCACACTTTGACCCCATTCAAAGAGTAGTGGTGTAAACATTGGTCTAATCATGTAAAGACTTCAAATGAATGGCCTGGAAATAAGACCCTCCTCCATATTTGTCAACCCAGACTATTTTCTTCTTAGTTGTTTGCTCACTTTATCACCTATTGTCTAATCGGGTATTTTCCAGACTGCAGTCCCATTTTTACCTCCCAAGAAATGTCTTTCCCCTTTTTCTAAAGTAATACTTAATGGGACATGAGTTAAAGTATCTTTATTCTATTAACATATTTTTCCATGTTATACACAAAATGTGACTTTGGCTCTGTCGTTACTTGCTCATGAGTCAAACTGATAAGACTAAAAAGAATGTGTTTTGAAGTTTTGTACACACTGTTCAGGTCTCAGATCAGCCCCCAGTGACAATTTGTCAATGATGTTCCTTAATCATAAGAAAATTCAGCTGATTCTAACAGTCTTCACTACTCCTGAGGCCCCGAAGAGTTTAAAAACAGCCCTTTTGACTTTTTCCTCCGTACATCTGTTCCCATAACCCATAAGATGAACATTAATGTTCTGTAATTTTTTTTGTGTAATTTCTTTCCTTTTGGACCTGGTAAACTTTGTAACTGTGCTCCAAGCCACATGGTTTTTCTTTTTTCTTCCTCCTTCCCGCCTCTTTTATTGGGCCCATAAATTTGGGCAATGCCCAACTGGAAATTGTCCACTTGAATTTTCACTGTTGGCAAATTACCGTGCTAGAAACGCCTGTTGTGAGATGACGCAGTCTGGTAGGAAAGCTGATCCGCTTCCCATGCAGTCAAATCAAGCCGTTGGTAGGAGAAACTCTTAGTCTTTACATGGAGAAATATAGATGGGGGGGGGGGGGGGGGGAGACACAGCAATTGCTGCAATAAGAGGGAAGAAGTGTTATCAAATATGCATTGTTGTAAAACAAAACAAGAACACAATCTTGTAACAACATAGTGTTTGCTTTTGGAATCTGCTGTACTTTAAATGTCTTCTTGTTTTGGCAATGAAATGTCTTCTTGCTGATGAATGCATCAAAAACCTAAAGCACAATCGATCCCTGCACATTGGATTCAAGTTCTTCTGAATTTCTGTAGCTTTTCTTCAGACATTTTTTCATGTAGCCAAAGGTCTTCAGTTGTTCATTTAGAAGCTTCAGATTTCTTGGTAATAATTTTGTTCAGATTTTTGTTTTCCAAATATCACGTTGTTGCACGTTTGGCTATACAAGTGTTCTTCTCTCCAGGATTTACTCTTTTTTTGTTTGTTTGTTTTTGTTTTTGCAGCCGCTTTGAGGTGTGACCTCTCAAAAAGTTTGGTCTTCCAAATCTCCAACTGTCTCTCACATTATAAACCAAAGGGGCAGCTATCTGCACGTTATCTCTAGGTCTAAAATCACAAGGTCTCGCAAGACATTAAGGTGTGACGATCCACTAAACGGTTTTATAAGCCTAAAATGTTCTGCCAAGCCAACCAGTAAAACACAGGCCTTTTTAGATTAGAGGTTAAACATCTTAAAGAACAAGGAGAAAGTGTTTTGCCTTTAAACACTTGAATTTCCAAAAACCCAGATAACTAAAAATCTGCTCCAACAATTATCTGAGAATACTGTAATTTCTGGACTATTGAGTGCACCAGCTTAAAAAAAAAGTTTTGTACATATAAAGACTGTGCATGTATATAAGCCGCAGGGGTGCATGAGATATTTACACAAATATATATTTTTAAACTTTTAATTAAATACATACTGATGAAAAACACAAATGTACAGGTTTTTTTTTTCCTGAACAGTGCCTGTAACGTGGCTAGTAAAAAAAAAAAAGAAAAAATACATAATTTTATTTATATATATATATATATATATATATATATATATAAATAAATAAAATACAGTAGTCTATGCAGAAACGTCAAGCTTATGATCAATCGGCTTTAACTTGAAATCTGCATTTCTTCGTGTGTTTCTTGACGAGGGTCTTTTTGCATGAAGCGCAAAATGACTGATCTGAAGAATTTCGTGTCATTCATTCCATCTTTATTTATACAGGTTAATCCCACTGAGCCTCGGGGACTCATTTACAAGAGACCCGAATTTTTTAACAAAGAGTAATGACAACAGTGGACAACGACAATAGACTATTATAAAAGATGCGTACAATTTTTTTTTTAACAAGTTAAATAAAATGGCAACCAAAAAAACAGTCAAAAGGAAATGAACCAAAAAAATGGCTAGATTATAAGAAGATGTAGAAAACTAAAAACGGGAACATGTTTTTTTCCTGGGTTTTCCCAGGAACTTGACAAATGTTTGAAGTCACTTAAAGAGGTCAAAGTCGAGAGCTTCAGGTCTTTTTGCAAGATGTTTCAAGAAACAGGAGTGAAGTAGAAGGTCCTTTTGCCAAGCTCAGTTTGCACTGAGGGAACACTGCATGTAATAATGTCCTGAGAGTGCAGACTGTAGCTGCACTCATGCAGAGACTCACACAGACATGCAAGAGGAGATGTATGAAGGCAGCAGACCAAGACGTGATTTAAAGATGAAAATGTACCAGTGAGAGAGTCTGTGTGAAGTAAAATGATGTCCAGTTAAACCAGTGAATACAGGGTGCAATGATGGGTACGGTAGTTACAGCCAGTTATGAATCTTAGTGCACCATGATAGACAGCATCCAACATCTGCAGGGTTCTTGTAGGAGCGTTCATATAAATAATGTCACTGTAATCAATGGAGGGAAGGAAGGTCACAGTTACAAGTCGTTTCATAGTGTTCAGAGTTAGACAGGATCCGTTTCTGAAAAAGAAACCCAGTTTTACTTTCAGTTTCCTTACTAGGTTTTCCACGTGGAGCTTAAAGCCCCCAGTATACTGCCGTGTACATCCACATGTACGCACGTGCGTACGCAGAGGTACCAACATATAAACAAAGAACACCGCTGCGGCGGAGGCTGCCAGCGCTCGCTTTTTTTTCTTTTTTCTGACCTGTCAATCAGTCCAGTAGGCGTGTCAGCAAATGACCAATCGGCGACCTCAATTTGTCCCGAAGGTAAATGCCCCTTGTCTGTGAAGCTGCTCTGCAGCTGATCAGGGTGTACGCTGGAGTATGAAGTCTGAACCCTCTGCGTACAGTACACGCGTACGTACGCGTGAACGGACATACGCGGCAGTATGCTGGAGCCTTAAGAGAGCTGCGAGTCGACCAAGATACCCAAACATTTGTAGGAATCGACAAACACAATAGGGACACCATTTGAGGATAAAATCACAGGAAGAACTGCTGGGACTGACTTCCTGTTTGAAACATCCCTTTGGTTTTGTCTGCGTTTAGGAAAAGTTTGAGACGGAACAAATCTTACTGGATGATGTCAAAAGCGGATTGTAAAAGCTGGAAAGTTTTGGCTCAATAATAAACAAGTGTCATCAGCATAGAAATGTAAGGATGCATCAGAAATGCTCTGACCTACATTACCCATGTAGATTGTCAAGAGGATGGGTCCTAAGACTGAGCCTTGTGGTACACTGTTGTTGACTGTGACTAGTGTGAATCATGTTTGATTTACTGTAATTCGGAGTTTCATTGGTCCACTGTGACCTGTTCATTAACTTAATTGGTCTGATTGTTTTCTACCTAATTATACAGGTAGTCTCATTGAGTCAGACCCACCCCAAGAGAGGTGTGTATTGGACAGCTATGCGAGTGCCCAGGTGTAACAAGGCTAAATGTTTTTGCGGCATGAAGCTCGTTAGCCCATCAGAAAAAAAAAATCCATAAATTAGCCAAAGGATTGTATAAGCCACAGTGTTCAGTGTGTGAAAAAAGTAACAACTTAAAGTTGGGAAATTACAGTATTTGTTAGATGTTCAGTAAAAGGCCCTCTTTTTATTAATAGTAATAATTGATTATAATTTTCAGGGTCCTATATTGCTGTTGTTTAAGAGAGACCTTGTCTGCAGTGCCTTTAGTTGGATATTTATATCTAATCAAAGTGTTTATGTAGGCCTAAAATTTTGAGTTGCGCGGTCTTTTCTAATTATTGTTCAAACTCATTAAGGTCTGAGACTTTGGGAATAGTAGTTATCAGGGTCAACATGTTTATGGGTTACATTGGCCTGTAAAAAAATTAATGAAATAAAATTCAGAGTAAAGGCGTATGAGTGACTGTTGTAGAATTAGACAGCAGGAATGTGTAATATGCATGGGATGTACTTCAGACTCTCATTCTGGCACCATCCATCTTGTCTATTTGTCCTTCTTCTGTCGTCTCTAGACAGACATAAGTCACGTCATGTGACAGGTAGGACAGGAGTGCACACAAGGCGAGGGTCAAATTAGGTTTTTAGGTTGACTGTGTGGGTTTAGTTTGCCTCGACTGTAAGATGATTTACTGATACACCGGCCAAATGTCAAACTAGAAATATGACCTTTAGTGACTGCATGGAAATTTTTCCCACGACAGAAGCGTGTTTAATTTGTTTTATAACAAAATCGGAACCAAAGACTTTTTCCTTAAAGTTCAAATAAAACTTTTCCAGTGTTATCTTTATGACAAGCCTAATATTAGGCGCACACATTTGACAGCTGGCTGAGATTGTTTTTCCCCTTTTCAGGAGTGAGTGTGTGTGTGTGTTTCTCACAGCTCCTGTTGTTGTTGTGCGCGTGTGTGTGTCGGGTTGGCATTCGTCTGGATTGTGCTCTTTTTCCAGCTCTTTCACTGTTCAACACATAAAGCTTGCAACAACCATGCCCTCTGTTCTTGTTTTGTCGTTTTCTCTTAGAAACAATCGCCTCACTTTTCTGATCTTTCTCTTACAGGCATCAAGAAACCAGCAGGAGGCTGAAGAATGTGAGTGTTTGTTTTTCAGACTTTATCATATTGGGTCAGGACAAAAGCTAAAGCGTGGTTTGTTTATTTTATTTTTTTCTTGCAATGGGAATCTCTAGTTTTGAAGATTAGTTTGTTTTGGCACATTTTTTAGATGAAACCAGAATGTGTTATGGTAACTCTAAATCACTTTAATTTTTATAATCTGTGCTTATCAAAAATACTTGAGGACATTTAGACCTGATTCACATGAAAAATGATAAGGGTCATAAACTAAATGTGTATTTAGTTGGATTCAAAATATATGAAAGCTTCAGTGCACTGAGATATTATGCTGGTTTTATTATTATTATTGTAATATTAACCTATCCACAAATGCAGAAGTCATAATTGACTGAAATATAAGTAAACCCTGTCAGAAGTAACGAAGTTGCAGGACTGTTGATGTTCAAGTGTTTGCTTTTGTGTATTAAATTTACCTGGTCAGCCTAATAATGAATGCAACAAACTGCAGCAGTGCTTCTGGATGATCCTGGAAACAAAAACATGAAGTGACTGTCATGCAGGAATACTGTTATCAGAACTGTTTTATGCTCAGCCGATCATTCATCACTGCGATTAAAGGCACTTGATGAATCTTGTTTCCTGTTTTTATTTAGGTAATTGTTTTTTGCGTGTGTTTTCTCTCTAGGTTTTAATCACCATTTACTGGTTGGGTAGAAGAGCTCAGTGTGACCGCTTCTATAATGGACCCTACCTGAATTTCAAAGCATTTGAAGGATTACTGGGCACAGCACTATACAAGGTAAATTCCTCCAAAAGGGGTAATTATTTTACTGGGGCTCTTTGAGCTGTCTTATCCATGCTGACATGAAACAAATCCTAGTTTGAGCGCATGTGAAATCTCCTTTAACAGTCCACGCACAGCAGATTTCTGTATAGGTATGTGAACAATGAGTGAAAGAGTGACTGTAATAAAACAAACAGGCCACAGTTCACTGGCCACTAAAACCAAAGCCACATTAAGTCATTGACTCAGCTATTTTTTTTTATCTTGTTTACACCATGGCACACAGTTCACATAGTTCACATGTTAAAATGACACTTTCTTTTCTTGAAAGAATACCATTTCCTCCCTCCTCCCTTTCAGCTCGTGCCAGTGTTGAACTTTGTGCTTTGTGTTCTCGTAGATTTATAGGTGGTGGCGCAAACCCCCTGTAATTCAACTGACTAAGAGATTTTCAGTAATGGCAGTGGGTTAAAGCATATTTTGTACATTTAGCCATGTTAATCCAAGTTCAGTGGCTGAGGGTTGGACTGGGGTTTAATTTGTGGACCTGTATTGTCTGGCAGGATTCTGCAGATTACAGATCTGAAAATCGTTTTCTTTTTAAAGTGGCTGACACGTTTTGGCTTGCACAGAGAGGCTCTCTGATGGATTTATGTGCTTGACAATCTTTTCTCATTTGAAGTGCAGTCATTAGGAGGGTGTAGGGATCGAGGCTCTGTTTGTTTGACTGAGATCATGGAAAAGAGAACATAAAGAGGTTATTTAACGTAGATTTCACCGTTCATTGTCTTGTATAACTCATAATAATGTATGTTTATAATAACTGTCAAGTATGAGGGGCCAGAAATCATATACTTCTCATTCTACATGGGAGATTTCACCACACACAGAGTAGGTAAATAGTATAGCTGGCACCCTATTATCTAAATGCGTGACTGCTGGTTTTTGTGTTTCTCTGAAAAGGCTCTACATGAATCAAATGACCAGAAGGACAGCAGCATCAGAGACAGTGGTTTTGGAGATAGTTGGTACTCAGAGCGAGAGATCCACCATCTGAGAGAAGGTGGTGGTGTTGGTGGTGGAGGGCACAGGAGAGACGACTCCCTGGACAGCTTAGACTCGCTGGGCTCCCGACCACACAGCATCTCATCTGACGCCACTCTGAAAGGCAGCAGCGAAGGTACAGTAGCAGATGTAGACAAAAACACATTTTATTTGAAATATTCTCATTCTGAGCTTTATCTTTATTTTGTTTCTACGTGACTATTTACAATCCAATTGATCGGTGTCGAAATCCAGATATTTTTAAACTGCAGAATGCCCCTTTTCCATTAGTACATTTAGTACCGGTACAGCACGGTTCTACTCTGCTCGGTACGGTACACGTTATTTCCATTATGCTTTCGGTTCCAGTTCCAATGGAGCTCTATCTAGCTCGCTCTGAATTTTGTCGTCTGCTACCAATCACAAAAATTGCCTGCACTTCAGCATTAGACCACGGTGTTGTCATTATTGTTTTTAAAAGCTTAAAAATAGGTCCAGCCGCTGCTCTGCGTTTGAACACCGGTAATTGCAAATGGTGGATCGAATGTTGTGAAATTTCTCCAATTGCCAGTGACTCCTCTTCCCTGACCAATCAGTGACCGACAGTGTTCTGACGTCATGTTTTGGTACCTGCTCGGCCCGGTAGGAACCACAGAGAAAAAGGTTTTGTAAAAAGGGACCAGTTCTATGTACTGTTACTAATGGAAGAGCCTTGGAACCGTGCTGAGTGGAGTCATGCTGTACCGGTTCCAATGGAAAAGAGGTATTGGTCTGCTTGGAAAGTTGACTTCTATTTTTAAAAATGTGTTGCCTTTTAGTGGGGCACTTCTGTAATTTGCTTGGGTTATGTTTTTTAATGGGAAAATGGGGACAAATCATTGCAGAACAGATCCGATATGTGTTATTGACAAAGTGCTTGTTAGTATTTTCAGAGCGGTTCTTCACTCTTTAACTGAGAACTGAGACATTCCACAGCCGTCCACAGCAGTCTGTAAATGGAGGCCTCTGTTCTCCACCCTGCACCCCTCACTTACTTCAGTCAAACCAGAGTGCACACACCTCCCACTCTTTGCCATATCCTGCTTTTGTTTGTCTTTTAATATTTGTTTGGTTTTCTCCCCTGCTTTTTTCTTTTAAACTTGTATTTTTGCTCCTGTCTTTCATGCTCCAGGTTGTTGTAGTGACACAGAGGCAGATTCCATCTTCAGGATGGCGGAGAACAAAAATAATATCAGTTACCGCCGGTCGCTTGTCATCACACCTAAAGCCACCGCCCAGTTCAACCAGTTCCTGCCCACTAAGGACAAACCGTCAGGCTACGTTCCTGCTCCGCTGAGGAAGAAACGGGCTGAGCAGGACAGCCGGCGCAGCGGGGTCAGTCTCAGTTATACAGAGGATGAAGGCACGCTCACCAGGTACAAACATCACTGTTCTTGGTCTGTTAAGGGTTTCATAGGCGTTTCTCTAATTATTGAGTTTGTCTTTTTTCACTCTTGCTATAGTAAGTTATGATTTGAAATAATGTGGCCTGTCCTTCGATTGCCTGAAGTTAACATGGTGGCTGTTGTTTGCCTTTCTGCTCTCATCATTGTTTGTGAACGGTTCATGGTGTGTTCGTTTTTGCTGTGGGATCATTTCTGCTCGCTACTGTTGCGACAGCCTGAATACCCAGAGTGCCTTGCCAGGAGCTCACCACCAGTGGAGTTTTGATTATGAAAGTGGAAGCGACTCGGACACAGGTCGACCAGACCCCGATCTCGTTCTTGATGATCTGGCAAGCAGACGCTTCCGCAGTCCCTCTCCAGCCCCACCCACCAACTTTTCTGTGCCCATCAGTCCCTCGGCAGGGGAGCGAGTGGCTCAGGGTAAAGAGAGACCCTGGTCTAAAGTCACTATTACTCCCAGTGCTACCCATCAGAAAAGTGTGGCTTTCAACAGGTCAGAGATTATGAAGATGCCGTGTGATGTGCCTGTGTGATGAGAGCTTCTTACCCTCAGTTTGCATGGTTAACTGCAACCATGAGAGCCGAATGATCTGCCTCTAACATTGCTTCAACCACGTCAGTTTGTTGGTTTCTGCTGAGATTATTTTGAGAATTTAGCTGTAGTGCATCCATTCTTGCTTTTTTGAACTTGATGAACTTTGAGGTGAGATTTGAGTCGTCAGATCTGTTTTTACCTCAGTTTGCCTTTTGAGCTTGCTTTGGATTTTTAAATCTTGCATTTGATTTGGAATTCTTGTGCTCAAAAAACTTGCTGTTTTTATTTTTGTCACGGCTTGTGAGCTTCTCTACAGTTGGTCTGTTTTGACACTTGTCATTGGCTGTCTCTTTTGAGCAGCGAAAGCAGGACAATGCAGTCGCCCACCCGCAGCTCTGTAAAAGTGAACCACCACCAAGCCGTGAACACTGACAGCCTGTTCAGTGACATGTATGATGACTCTGAGGATGAGGATGATGAGGTGGGCTACGCAGATCCTGTGCAAGATGATCTCTATACCCGTAAGATGGGCGTCAAACCCCAGCCTGCAAACAACGTATCGTACAATAAGTTTTTACCCAAGTCCTGGACACCGGAAGAAGATGATCATGTGCAGAAGATCAAACTGGGTTCTCAGAGGAGACCCTGGTACAAGAAGATGCAAGGCTTCAGGTGTGTGAGGGCGTTAAGATGTGAAGGGACCAAACATTTACATATAATTTCCTGACATTTGTCTAAATGAAGTAAATCTTCACACATCCACCTCCTTACAAAGTCATACCTCAGCCTATTTCCTTTCCACGCTTTTGTTTCCTTAAATAATTGTATGCTAATATATTAGATTTTAGAGTTTATTTATATACTTCACTGCATTTTTTTTCTGTGGTATAATTGCCTCCCACTTAATATTTCTTTCTTTCTTCCAACAATCACATCCCATCTCTTCTGTGTTGCCTCCTCTGTCCCTTTCCCTTCATCCGTCCTGCTGTTCGTGGCTGTAGCCGTCAGAAGTCCAGCTCTTCGTCTGATGACTCGGACTGTGACATCAGCCCCTGGCTCTCCTCCGCCCCCTCTCCTTCTGGCCCACCTACCTCTCACTCCCACACTCATGAGGCCTCGGCTCACACCACCCTTATTGTTGGGAAAAGGTTGATACAGTTGCATGACTGTGACGATGCAGAGTTATTTTAAAGCATCAGATTTTTAAGAAAAACATTTAAAGGCTTACGTTCTGATCAGTTTCCTACTAAGAACTAATAGTTGCTGGAGTTGCCTTAACGTGCTTTAACAAGAAGTTTGCTTATTTTATTTTTAAAGAGTTTCTGTAAAATTCTAGTTTTATTAGTCTGTTCTTGACTTTATAGAAACTAGTTTTATCTTATAGTAGTAAACCGTTAATAGTAAAACCCTCATTTGATCATGATCTGCTTGAATCAAATATCCCAACAATGGCTCCTTGTTGAATCTTTTCTTTCTTTCTTGCACCTTTATCCAGTTCACATGCATGCGCTCATCACCTCTGTCCTTTTCTCTTCTTTTGCTTACCCTGCAGTCCTCATGTCCAACCTCACACCCTTCCACAGCTTCCCAAGATAGAACTCCCTTTCCTTGAAGTCCCTCCACTGGTGTTTGCCCCTGTGGACCCCACCTCAGGTCCCAGACTGGTTAAATGTGAGCAGTGGCCACTGCTGGGGCGCCAAGACCCTAGAGAACCCCCAGATCCTTTTGATTACACAAGTATTGACCCTGATTTGGAGAACGATGACATGTTCACCAGGCGAACACTGTCATTTCAGTCCAACACTGACCTGGCGATGACGAAGACGCGGCTCTCATCCAAACGTCGGCTCCACTCGTCTGAGCCACAGCTCAATATTGTCACCCAGCAACACCGTCGCGGAGATGCAGAGGAAACTGATTATCCAGACATCGAACAGGATGATGTTATTAATCGCAAGGAGAAAATTCAGAGGGTTCAGCGACAACGAGCGCTCTCGGGAGCTCCCGATAATTATGCCCCCATGCACGTCCCAGAGCCTTGGGCTCTACCCCCTGAACTCAAAGCCAGACTTCTCTGTCCGCCATGTCCTCTGACTCAGAAAGCACCATCTAACCAGAGTCATGTTGAGAAGGAAGTGTGTCCTGAAATGGATGATATGCTAATTCGTAAGCTTCAAGTCCATTCTGATCAGAGCCAACCTTCACCGAAGTGTCACTCAGCTGTTCTCATGACCCCCTCTGTACCTTCCTCCTGTAGCAAAGAGGACCTGCAGAAGTGGCAGGCAATCAGAGAAGCCAGTCAGCTAAGATATAAAAAGAAGCTTTTGTTGGAGAGGCTAGCTGCTCTGAAGTTGTGAGCTTCTCCTGATATGAGACTGTTGCTTGAATCTTTCAGTTAATGTTGTAACATTTTCAGATGTGAAATATTTCCTGTCTTTGAATCCACACAAAGGTGAAACCTTCACCTGGTTGTTACTGGAAGTTGTCACATTTTGTTTACTCATAAGTTTAAAATGAAATGCGAGATGTGTTACAATATTCACATATTGGGTTGCTTGTGTTTTTAAGTTTTCTGATATTTCACAAATTAGTTTTGTGTTGCAGAACTGTGGTATCTTACATCATGGATGTTCTGTTCGTTCAGTTTGGTCTCCTCCTGTGTGTGGTGTGATTGATGAACAAAAATATTCATTTGACCAAATCTCGTTCTCACTTTCAAATGAGTTTGTCTGTGTATGATTTTTAAAACATCATGCTAAATAAAAATAAAAAAGAAACGGTTGAATCTCTTAGTAATTGATTAAACTGAACTTTCTGCTCACCAAGGATCTGACCTGAGAACAGTGTTGTTTTTCCACAGCAAAAGGAACTTTACACTGACCTGTAACTTGCACTGCAGCAGCAGGAGAAAGCAGAAAGACATTAAATATCTAAATATAAAATCTTAAATGTTCTGACCACATTGACCCAAGTAATTTAATGTTGTGCCATCATCAAAGGGCATAGAAATTCCCCACAGACCTGAAAGTAAATGTGATGTGGACTCCACAGTAACCAGAACACAAGTCTAAACCAAAGTGTTTAAACTTGAACAGATGCACAGAAAGTCCCACACAAGGCAACCATTTAACCTGAGTCCAGATCATCTGGATTTACTTCATGCCCAGATGTGTTAAGTCCAGTTTCTAGTGACGACATGGAGTCTCCAGAAAGGCAGTATTGTTTATGGATAAATGCATGTCTATGCACACCTGTACATGTGTGCGCACACCTCCCCCCAACCACCCCAGCCAAAATTTAACATTAAGAAATGAGATGTAGTGATGTAAGCCCACCAAACACAAGCACACACACTTCTAGGAGAATAATTTGTTCAGTTTATTCAGTACAGTGAAGACAGCAGAGTCAGGTTTAGTTTATTTACAGCTTGAACCCTCTGGTTGTGTATCTGCTGGTGTAAAAGTCTGACTGTCTTCAAGCTATTAATGAGAGTACTGCCAAAAAACAAAAAGCCTGCAGAAATGTGACTTTGTGTGATTCTCTCCGGTTTCCCAGACAGCACAACGAGCTCCAGAGTATGGACGGGTGAGTTGATTATGAGCTCCCAGGAATGTGGCACGTTCTGGCCTCTTCCAGTCGCACTCTGCTGCCTCCTGCTTTTGTTCTACTGTCCTGACTTTTTAACGACTAAATGCTGACATAAAATACTGACTCATTGTACTGCACAGGGCTGCAGTCAGGGAGTGGGCTACAGGGGGAAAATTAAGTCAAAGTACTGAAACAAAGTGCTACCTAACCTGTGGTGAAATTTCCCACTGCTAGATGTCGACGTGAGACGAGTAAATATTTAAAAGAATGCATTTATTTTCTATCAATGGTGAATTTATGGAGACTGCTCTCTTGCATGATCATGGAAGGTCAGGGGTGTATGTTACTAACTTGATGGGCTTTTTATCACTTTATACTGTTTGTGACTGACCCGAGTGCTGAGTTTACAAACTAATACTACTTTACCAAAGTACATATAAATGTATTGTCTTTTGTGGCATGCGACTGGAATGGAGTTTTTTATAATGAACCCTTTTACTAACATATAAAATCTTGACACACTTTATTTTATTTGTTCCACTGCTTTTCTTCCTCCCCTCTCAGGAGTAAATCAACAAGTGATATCATGGAGCCCATGCTCACCAGGCAGAATCGCTTTGAAGAGCTTAACAAGTATCGCGAACAGATCAAACGAAGCGAGGATGAGTGGCAGGATGTGAGTATTATCCAATATTTGTCATATTCACAAATACTCATAAAGTACTGATGCTGAATTATTTTTTGTGGGGTGCAGAGGCAGTCTGCTCAACCTGCAGAGTTGAGGTGAAACTAAAGGGTGAGGAAATGTGTATGGGAGTATGAGATTTGTGGAGCAGAGCTGTTGAGATTGAAACTAGTGAGGCAGGAACTAGTTGGTGCAGTGCTGCCCTCTGGCTATTGTCTGTCCTTTATAAATCTTTGGCTTGGATGTATGTAAAACGATGTTGTGATGTAAATATGGAAGAATTTGAGACAAAATTAAAAATAACTGTACTTTATTAAAAGAAAAAAGTTTTTACAAATTGACTGGAGTGATTCACAAACAGTAAAACTCTGTTGCAGCTGGTAAAATCAGTATTAATACCACAGTTTCCCACATATATACAGGTGCTGGTCATAAAATTAGAATGCCATGAAAAGTTTATTTCAGTAACTTCGTTCAAAGAGTGAAACTTTTCTATTCTATTCATTCATTACACACAGACTGATATATTTCAAATGTTTATTTAATATTGATGATTAAAACTGACAACTAATGAAAACCCCATATTCAGTATCTCAGAAAATTGGAATATTGTGAAAAAGTTAAATATTGAAGACGCCTGGTGCTACTCTAATCAGCTAATTAACTCAAAACACTTGCAAAGGCCTTTAAATGGTCTCTGTCTAGTTCTGTAGGCTACACAATCATGGGCAAGACTGCTGACTTGACAATTGTCCAAAAGACGACCATTGCTAAAGAGGCTGGCTGTTCACAGAACTCTGTGTCCAAGCACATTAATGGAGAAGTGAAGGGGAAAAAAAAGATGTGGTAGAAAAAAGTGTACAAGCAATAGGGATAAACGCACCCTGGAGAGGATTGTGAAACAAAAGCCATTCCAAAATGTGGGAGAGATTCACAAAGAGTGGACTGCAGCTGGAGTCAGTGTCAAGCCACTCTTGAACAAGAGACGGCATCAGAAGCGTCTCACCTGGGACTGCTGCTGAGTGGTCCAAAGTTGTGTTCTCTGACGAAAGTAAATTTTGCATTTCATTTGGAAATCAAGGTCCCAGAGTCTGAAAGAAGAGAGGAGAGGCACATAATCCACGTTGCTTAGGTCCAGTGTCAACTTGCTACAGTCAGTAATGGTTTGGAGTGCATGTCATTTGCTGGTGTTGGTCCACTGTGTTTTCTGAGGTCCAAGGTCAACGCAGCGGTCTACCAGGAAGTTTTAGGGCACTTCATACTTCCTGCTGCTGACCAACTTTATGGAGACGCAGATTTAATTTTCCAACAGGACTTGGCACCTGCACACAGTGCCAAAGTTACCAGTACCTGGTTGAAGGACCGTGGTATCCCTGTTCTTAATTGGCCAGCACCTGAGCAGTGTCAGACTATTGACTCCATGCTACACCACGTTTCTGGAGTAATCCAGGCAAATAAAGCCCCAACTAAGTATTGAGTGCTGTACATGCTCATACTTTTCATGTTCATACTTTTCATGTTCATACTTTTCATGTTCATACTTTTCATGTTCATACTTTTCTGTTGGTCAACATTTAAATTCTAAAAAAGTTAAGTCTGGTCCTCTGGACATTCAAAAAACAAAATTTTGGAATGTCCAGAGGACCAGACTTAACTTTTTTAGAATGAATATAATGTACAAGTTTCACTTTTTGAATGGAATTGGTGAAATAAATAAACTTTTTCATGATATTCTAATTTTATGACCAACACCTGTATAATACATACACTGACTGTGGTTCCTGCCAGATATCTAATGATATCTAGGCAAATAAGTCTTAAAGCAGCATTTAGGTCATTCAGTCCCCAATACACGGGGGAAGAGAGCCGGGAGGAGCTTATGGCTGACAAATAGAACACCTTCAAATGTAGCTCTTTCTCTCTTTTTTTTAGAACTTCTTTCTCTCAGTTGCACACTTGCAGTGCAGTACAACTGGTCTATTTTCATCTAGAGCCAAGTCTTAAGTGTTTAGGATGTGATGCATGAGGTAATCTTGGTTTGCTTTATTTTTATTATTTTTGCAGGACCTGAGTAAATGGAAGAGCCGGCGTCGGAGTGTAAACTCTGATATTGTAAAGAAGAAAGAAGAAAGAGAGAAGATAGAGCAGATTACATACGGCAGTGAAAGAAAGCCCATGACCTTCAAGGAGATGCAAGAGGAGAGGTGAGGGAAAGTGTACCTTCTCAGGTAGCTTCAGTGGTGTAAGGATTATAGATTATGGTGTAGGACTGCATACTGAATTTGTTCCTGTTCACATTCTTTTTTTAACCCTCAGAGGGGAATTCTTTGCTAAGGTAACAACTTAAAAAACAACAGGTTTGTGTGAGGACTTGTGCATCGTTGAGCAGACAGCATGTTTGTTTTAGCCAGAGTGGGTGAGGAGATGCTGTTTTTTGGTCTTTCATCAGTGTAATTGGCTTATAGCCTTCCATTTTGTTCTGCACATCTCATCATCCTCAGTCTGTGCTTTGATTTCAGCCTACATTCATCTTGTTGCTTTACTGCCACATTTAAACTTGTCTGTTATGTATTTCATCCCACTCTTTCATCCACAGAGAAAATAAAGGAAAGGGCAGCATCGGCAGTCGTCTCAAGTCCCTCTCCTACTTGAACGACGAGGACGAAATATTTGAAACGCCTGTTGTTACCCCATACACCCGAGCCCATCTTTCCAGAAGCTACACTATTGACACTCCGTTCCATTCCTCAGAAAGCTTTGAGCCTTCTCGAACAACACCAGAAACCCCTGCTGCTTCCTCACCTACTCTTAGACCTGATTCCCCTCCTATTTCACTGGAAGTGGAAGAGGTGGACAGTTCTGCAACTACAAACTCCAGTACCACCACCACCACCATCATTCCCACTACTACTCCTGCCAGCCACAACTCCATCAACAGCTCCCACGCTCCAACAGCTGCACCAGAATCAAAAACCAAAGCAGACGAACACGTCATCACGACCAAAACGCAGGAGGCTGCAGGAGTTGTCTCCTCTTTTAGCCTCAAACAGGAGGAGCCCAAGCCTAGGCCCTCATTGTTGAGCACACAGACTGGAGTGGAAGCCCCCTCCTCTAGTTCTTTGTACAAACAAGCACCACAGTTCAGCTCAATGGAGCCCAAGCCTCCTGGGGTGTCTCGGATTTCTGCCTCCCTCCCTAGGAGCTACCAGAGATCGGATAGCGCTCGTCTGACCTCTGTTGTTGCACCGAGGCCCTTTGGGAGCCAGTCCTCCCGCATCACCTCTCTTCCAAGAGCCTATACGGTGAGTTCTGCTGTTTTACTGGTAAACACAAACTACCTGTGCAACACTAGGGGGCAGGATTACAGTTTATTTTTCTACTGGAGATTCTGAGCTTGTTGGTCAAGGTGATTTATTCAGTGGACATCAGCAATTCTCAAGAGTTAATTCTGATTACAGTGAGAAAAATGAAGGAAGTTTGTCTTTTAAATAGTAGCTGACTCAATTTTAATGACTGATAACGAATTGAACAGCAGTCAATGGCCGATTTTTATAAAGCTATGTTTTAATCTGTGTTTTGGCTCATAAATCAACTGTTATTCTTGTATATTACAATGTACCAGATAAAAAAAAAATACATTAAAGAAATTTGGTCCATTGCTTAAAATGGAGTGTCACTAGTATGATTAAAATAATCTAAAAACAAATCTGTAGAAACTTTCTGATTTGAAGTAATTATTTAAAAAAAAGTTCTGTCAGGTTGTTGCAACATCCCACTGCTCATTTCTACAATGTTGTTTAAAAAAAAACTACATTGGCAACTAGTGATGACCTCATCAAAGTCAAAAGTCAGTTTCTTTATTTGTCATACATGTGGTGCATGTGTTGGAATGAAATTGTGTACACGGGGTCCCAGTTACATCCAACAAACGTATAAAACGTAAAAGAAAAATGGTAATAAGATCTAAGATATGAACTAAGAAAAACATTAAAGTAAAAATACACTAATCTCTGTGTGAGCAGAAGAGTATAAATGAACACAGCAACATGAAATAAATCAGCAGCTTCATGGTTTTTTTTTGTTGTTTTTTTTCCACAATGATTTTCCTGGTTAGAGATTCATGGGTCTAACCACCTCAGGGTAGAAGCTGTTCCTTAGTCTAGTGGTTCTACACTTTTCATTCAACCTTTATTTAGACAGGTAAATCCCATTGAGCCTCGAGGACTCATTTACAAGAGAGACCTGATTAGTAAATGCGGCATTAGACTTAATGCTCCTCAACCTCCTGCCTGAGGGGAGCGAGACAAAAAGTGTGTGTGCTGGGTGAGTGGGGTCCTTCATGATGCAGGTGGCCCTCTTCCTGCATGTGGAGGTGTAGATGTCTGTGATGGTGGGGAGGCTGACTCCAACAGACTTCTGTGCAGCCTTCACCACTCTCTGCAAAGCTTTTCTTTCTGCAGCTGTGCAGTCTCCATGCCACATGTTGAGGCTGGAGCACAGGATGCTCTCCACTGCACACCTGTAGAAGGAGGTGAGGACTGAGCTTCCCAGTCCAGCTCAGGAAGTAGTCTCTGAGCTTTCTTGATCAGGCTGGTGGTGGTGTTGCTCCAGCTGAGGTTGTCATTCAGGTGCACACCCAATGCAATGACTTTAGTTAGGGCTCAAAGCTTAAAAACAAAGTTTAAAACATGTTTTATTCATCATCCTTTGAGGTCTGCTGGTGTCCTTTTTAAATGGTATAATATGCTCAAACATTGTTGATTATCTTTTTTTTTTTTTTTTTAAGAACACGTTGGTCTAATTTGATTTGTCGAATGATCAGTCGGTTTAACTCTGTTCAAAGCTAAGTCGGCTACCAGCGTTGTTATTTTTAGACTTCTGTAGTGAGTCACATCTTTCTGACTGTGTAATGCCGTGCATTGAATTTAACAGAAATGCGAACGAGAGACGTTATTATCTTTGACCCATCAAATGAATGGAGTCATTTATTTTCAGAATCAAAGTTTAACATCAAACATTTACATTAATTTGGCAAAATATGAAAATAATAACAGACAGTTTCACAAATAATGAACTTCAAATCACTCGGCGGTGATTTGAGGACTTTGCTTCAGATATTTCTAAAATATCTGTACTGGTTTTGTGAGAGAGAGAAGAGTTTAAGATGAAGTGGAGATTTATCTTACAGAGAAATATGTGAGGGAATTTAATCTGTTGACCAGAACGTGCACGCTTCATCAGATTTCAGCTCGCCTCCGGTACACTTTAGTCGAAGAAGAGACCGTTACCTTGTTGATGATAGATCAGCTCGATAGAGAGTCCTCCAGACCTTTCAGCGTCTCCGTTGAGAGCTGCTGAAATCCTTAGATAGTCGTGCGTGGGTTGTTCAAACAGAAGTTATAATTCCAACGTCTCTGACTCTCCTGAATTCTCGAATTCTCTTCCATTCACTTCACCATTCTCCATGAATTCTAACCAATTCTCTTCAGAACTCCTTGAGCACTGCTTCAGAACTGCTTCCGAACTACATGAGAACCGCTCCAGAAACATTCCAACTCTCAGAACTCTTCAGAACAATTCAGAACTAACTTGAACTGGAAAGTTGCCACATTTTAAATGGGTCGACTTCCGGTTCAATTTAGAGCTTTCTGATTCGTGGATGTACCAGAAAGAGGTGTGGTTTTTGACGTAAGGTATTATCAAGAGTCGAGGTCAGGAAATGAGATTTGTTTAACAACTGACAGAGAGATTATTGCAAAAAGCAGACTTCGTGGAGTCTCTATTCTGATTATCTTCTCAAATAGTTAAACATGACATTTCTTCTTCAGTAAACATTTAGTTGACCGAAGCTTCAACTTTCACATACTTACGACTTGGCTCATTTCAGACAGAAAATCAAGAAATGCATATTCAGGTGATTTCTTCTTTGAATGAGGAATAAAAATCATTACTTACTGTTTATGTAAAATAAAAATGAGTAGTTCTTTTCAACCTGTAAGCATTGAGTGAAACTAACACAATTTGATTATCAAAACATTTGTAAGACAGTAATGATTATAGAGGATTGTCTTTTCTGCTTGATTAATTCAAGAAAGAAAGTCATCAGATGGCTCAGACTTATTCAGATCAATGAAAATAACAGTCTCTGTCCATCTGGTAGATTTGAGGTCATCAGGGTCAGATAAGGGTCAGATCATCAGGTCATCAGGTTCACTACAGTCCCCCCTTTGGAAATCATCACCTGTCCATGGAGATGAATTCCAACCGTGAACTTAGACCTTCAAATGTCCTTGAGCTTGATGTAATCCAGCAAGGAAGACCAAAGTCAGAAGTAATCCAGCAAGGAAACAAAGTCAAGGTAATTCCACAATGTTCTTGGTATTCCATTGTGTTGATTATAATTCCATATCGTCTCGATAATCCCATTGTAGCAATGCTTTAACCCCTTGGAAACAGAGTCTGTAATCCATTGAAAAAGTCATATAATCCACAACGGTAAATCCACAGCGATTGGAAGTGTTGATTAATCAGCATACAGAGGGGTACCCTTGGGTTGAACTGAAGAAGCGGCCACTGGATGAAGAGTGGAGACCAACGTCAGGATTGCAGGTCGCCTCCAGCGAAGGTTGTCTCCAGCGACGTCCAGCCTGTGCCGTTCTGGTTCAATGTGTCATGCAATTATGTGGTTTAAGGTGGGCTTATGAAGGGGATTTTACATAAGGCCTTAAACTATATGCATCTGGTGTGTAAGCTATTATGGTTGGGAACAGCTACAACTACCAGTTAAGGGGTGGATAATGCTGAAAAGGGGTAACTACAGGGGTTTATGCCTATAGAAAAAGTGTTCCAAACTATTTTTCCATTTCTAACTTGGTTTAAGTTAGCTTTACATGGTAAAATATAGTTTGGTGTAATTGTCTGTTGTCCTTTAGACGAACGACTTGAGATTGGGTGTTTGGTTTTCCCATAAATGTTTTGGAAGTCTATGGCGAGACTTATCAAAAAGAATTAGCTATCCCCCCGAATAGAATTGTTCGAGTAGGTTCGGCTTAAGCGTTGTGAGATCAATGTAGATTATGGTACTCAAGGTAGCAATAATATACATTGACTCCGCAAAGATTGCAATTTAGTGAATGAACTGCATGTTGGCATGGTTAAAGGCTTCTTAGTCTCTAACTTAACTACACACAAGATTCATTCTTACCTCAGAAACAACCAAAATCAACTAAACAACGTTTCAACACCGACAAGAGTAGTGACTAAGCATCTAGAAACATCGTTTCACAGCTTCTCCTCACCCTGGTTGCCAGATTCAGTCACGCTGTCCCGTTTTATCAAGGGTAGGTCCTGTGAGTTTAAACTATGGTTAATTTTATTATCCATTAGTTATCTTCTGCTTGGATGACCCTTGTTCCCACGAGGTCAGATTTTGTGATGTCTTTGTCTCCTAAGGAGTTATTGCACGCCTTGTGTTGTTTAATCTGGTTACGATGTACCCATTTAACAGTTGGTTCTTTTTGGCCTTTACTGATTTTTATCTGGTAGATAATTGGAGACACTTTGTCGGTAATCAGATGGGGTCCAGTCCATCTGGGCATCAGCTTACGGGCGAGAGTTCCGGTCCCGGACTCTACTCTCCCAGTTTTGGGTGCAAACGTGTAGTACCAGACCCTGTCTCCCACTTGGAGTTCCTCGTGAGAGGCCTTTTGGTCGTAGTACGCTTTGCGTCCTTCAGCTGATTTTTCCAGGTTTTTCTGTGCGAAAGCAAAAGTGTTCTTAAGGTGTCTTTCCAAGTCTTTCATGTATTGTTGTGTGGTGTAGGCTGTTGCCATGGCAGCATCGCCTGGTTGGTACAACAGGTGCAGAGGGAGAGTCATTTGTCGACCCGTCATCATCTCGAAAGGAGCGATGCCAGTCGACGTGTGTGGAGTGGCCCTTATGGCCATGAGGACCAGAGGGAGTTTCACGTCCCAGTCCTTGTGGTTTGCGGCTACGTATTTTTTCAAAATACTCACCACAGTCCTGTTTGCTCTCTCAACCTGGCCTGAAGCCTGTGGGTGGTAGCCAATATGGAAGTTGGCTTTGACGCCTAGCGTCTTCCACAGTTCCTTCATTACTTCACCTGTGAAGTGTGTACCTTGGTCTGAGTTCACCCTAAGGGGAAGTCCAAACCTTGAAAATACATGATTCATTAATAACATAGCAGTGGTTTGTGCTGTGTCATTAGGGGCTGGTAGACATTCTACCCATTTGGTAAACGCGCAGGTTACCGTGAGAAAATATTTATTTCCTCTAGAGGTCT